CATAAAGTCACAATTGTGTGCTAGTATATTTAACTAATGTTCAAAAGTTTGGGGTCGATAAGATTTGTTTTTGAAAGAAGTCTCTTATGATCACCAAAGATGAATTTATTGGATCAAATATACAGTAAAAACAGTAATATTGTGAAATATTACAAATATTATTTATATTTGAATAAATTTTAAAATGTAAATTATTACTGTGATGCAAAGCTGAATTTTCGGTGTCATTCTAATATGCTGATTTGCTGCTCAAGAAACATTTATCAATTTTGAAAATGGTTGTGCTGTGTAAAATTTGTGTGGAAACATACATTTTTTTTAATGAATATAATTCTTTGCAACATTATAATAGTATTTACTGTAATTTTTTTTATCAAGTCAATGACTTGATAAAAAAATTTTTTTATCAATGCATCCTTGCTGATTACAATTAATAATACTTTCACAAAAAAAAATTCTTACTGACCCCAAATTTTAAAATGGTAATGTAAATGTATATCTCCTGCAATATTAAGACAGATTCCAAGGGAAATGTTACAGTTGGCAGACATTTATTTGTTGATTCCCTCTGTTGATACAAACCCACTATGAAATTGACACTAAAAAGACTACAAAACATGCACAAATTTACACAATTTCCCTTTTACTCCTGCCTGATTCATTAACAGTTTTATTTAAGGCAATCTTTGGGCTGGAACCCGGACCCTTCAGATAAACGAAGAACATCTGTGATTGCAATTCAGGTGAGCACTAAAGGCAAACTTAATTCAGCAATTTCTCAAGTTAGGCTTGAAGTATATTGGACATTTATTTGTGACTGACATTCAGAAAAGTGTTGATATAGTACTCTGCTTTTTGGCTAGTATTTACTAAAGACCATTGCAGTTGTATAATACTGTGAACAGCTTGATTCCCAAAGCAAAGGTCCGTTTTTGGAGTCTGAAACCTCATAAATACAGATGCAACGTCAAGATACAGAGAAATGGTGACAAGGTAAAACAAGTCCTATATTATATCATCAAATGTTGAGATATACCATAAGATATACGTAAAATCCCTGTTTTGTTATGGGGTAGATAGTTAAATCTCTTCCCAATTCACAGTCTGCAGTTTCAGGTACCACATCTCTGGATCAACTTTTATTCCCCTATTTCTCTCCCATCTCTTGTTTTATGATCCTCTCATAATATTCTCGTAGTCTTGGTGTGAGTAAATGCAAAATGAGGATGCAGTACATCTAGTTCTATCAAGTCTAGCATGGCCTTCTCTGTGCTGACAGCCCTGGAATGGACTGGCATTATGAGAGAGGAACTATGGGAAAGGCCAGTGGAATACACAAGGGGGAAGTGAAGCAAAGTGGCCCACAGCCGGCGAGAGGAAATGTCGCATGACCTCGTCCTATCTGCGTCTACACAAGCACAGATTCACGACAAAGCAGCTGAGATGGTGGATGTGCGTATATGAGATTTGTCTTGTTTCTTGGCTTTTCCTGCTCCCTCAAAAGGTGCCAGAAGTAGTAAAGCGCCTTCCGATGTACACCCTAAAAAGATGAAATTAGTAATTACCAGATGTAGCATTGGTAGTCATTTTAGGATCAATACTACAGTGCCTTGCGAATGTATTCATACCCCTTCATTTTTTTCACATTTTGTTTTGTTGCTGCCTTATGTTAAACTGCTTTAAATTAGTTTTTGTCCACAACAATCTACACTCCATACACCATAATTGTCAAGCAAAAACACAGCTTTTTAACATCTTTGCAAATTTATTAAAAATAAAAAA